GACAGCTTTTACATGTCAGTATTTTATTTTTCAATTTGGGGTTTCAGACATTCAACCAATTGCAGTGATCAAAGCGCTAGGCTGCTAAACAGGCACTAGGCGGCTAGGCAGGTTGGGTCTTTTTTGGGTGCCGAGCCCAGAGTACGAAGTCTCTGCCTTTACATACATTGAAAGAGCCCAATCCAATCAATCAACGCAGTAGCCGAAACTGAAGAAAAAAAAAATCAAAGCTTAAGTTGAGAGAAAGGCTCAAGACCGAGTCTTTGAAGCTTGGAAACGGATGTGACTTCGACTGCAAGCTTCGTGTTCATTTCTTTGTCCCTAAACCGTGAATATTTTTAAAGAGTATAGCGGCGCAACAATACCTTTAAAATGTTCAAATATATTAAAAGAGTATTGCCGACACTCTTTAAATATGCAATTTTGTCATATGATTTTAGGGTTTAGGGCTAAGATACCACTTTAGCCCATTGGGCTAGTGTTAGTCATTCAATTACTTTATTTATACATATGTGATATAAGGGAATGAAAATTTAAATTCTTTCCGATACCTCGCATTCTAATGATTTCCAATTTCCAGCTATTAGCCCATTGGGCAAGAATAACAAATGAATTTTATTTATAACAAATAATACAGGTTATACCCATAAATACCAAAAAAAAAAGAAAAAAAAAGGATCTGCCAACATTTTTGTGGATCAAAGAATGTTGAATTTCATAGTATAAAATTGCATGTATAGTAGTTTACTTTCTAAATTGTATCCATCGTAATTATGAACTAAACCCAATTATAGCATTTTTCTTATTACACTTGACAACCCTGCTCTTCTGCTACGAGATATATCAGTCCGCGCGGCTTTGCTTTTAAAAAAATTCAAATGTGTTTAAAGGGTATAGCCGTGCGAATATACTGTTAAAATATTGGATAATTTTGCTTTTAGCAGTCTGTCAACACGCCGGCTAATCCAAAGACGCGTGCGACCTGACACTATACCTTGGAAACATCATTCATAGTATGAGAGCATACAATTGCTAGGTTTGCCATTCGGATACTCTGTCAGAGCATCTCCAGGAGAGTCTCCAAATTTTACCCAAATTCTAGTTAAAATAGCTAACCACTTAAAAGGTGGTTCCTCCAGCAATGCTCTCTATTTTTCCTAACCTCGTCCTATATTAACCTCAATCAATAAAGCAATCCATAAACTCCCCCACTTATATTCACCAATTTATATCCTAAACCCACAATATCCATTTAACTCAACATCGCTCAAGACCTGTCACTAAGGTCATTCTAACCCTCAATTAAAGATAAGACTATCCCGGAAGTCTCACGGTCAACCTATGGTCAAACGGGCCTGCGGGGCCCACAACCTCCAAATTCCGATCCGAAAGTTCCTATAGGTTCTACAGGCTCTATGACACATGTCCTGCAAGTTTGGTCCAGATCGGACGGTCGGATCGCTCACGATCGCACGATTGGACGGTTACTAAACCTTACCCCTAGGGTTGGCATTTTCGGAGTATCCGGGACTCCGTTTTAC